CTCTACAATAAATCAAAAAATCAGCCGGACATGGTAGCGCGTGCCTGTAATTCCGGCTACCTGGAAGGCTGAGGTGGAAGGATCATCGGAGCTCAGCAGGTCGAGGCTGCGGTGGCCGGGAGTGGCCACTGCACTCCAGTCTGGGCGACAGAGTGAAATTCCAACTAAAAAAAAACAAAACAAAAAATAGTTTTGTAGAGACAGGATCTTGCACGTTGGCCAGCCTGGTCTCAAGCCATCCTCCTGCCTCAGCCTCCCAAAGGGACGACTCCCTTCCATTTCCTTCATTCGAGCAACCAATACTGATTGTTCCTCCCTGGGTACCAGATACTATGCCCACTGGGGGAGGGTCACGCTCGCCTTCACGCAGCTCTGGGGGTGAATGTGGGTCATAAAGCGCATTTGAGGACAAGGACACGCGTCTGAGACCAGCCTGAGTCTCGATCCTGCCTGCAGTTCCAGGAGGATGGATTCTTGGTGTTGGAAGACTTCTTTTCTGCAGACGAGTGTGCGGCCATGCAACAGAGGATTGGCGAGATTGTGGCGGAGATGGAGGTTCCCCGCCACTGCCGCACGGAATTTACCACCCAGCAGGAGGAGCAACTTCGAGGCCAGGTAGGGGTCTGAGGCAGATGAGGTTGAGAGCTGGTCTATGATGGAGAGCCCCGTCCCTGGTCAGAGTTGCAGCCTGGAAGGCAGGATCCCAAGCCTGGGGACGGGACGCAGGCTAAGCACCTCACCCACGTCTTTTCTTCACCCTTTATTATCAGTTTGTAAGATGAGCATGATATGCCATTTCACAGGTGGAGAAATCACTCTGATCCCTTGCCCTAAACCACATAGCTGGTGATGGACAGGGCCAGGATTTGAACCCAGATCGGTCTGACACCTGTGTGCTGTTCCCTGCTCTGCTGTACTTCCCAGGGGCTCCCTGACACAGAAGGTCTCTTTATGGCCAGCCACCCGGGATGAGCCCAGTGATTCCCATGGGCCCACCTGTGTACGTTTCCCCCAGTGAGATGAGGGACTGGTCCCACTCCCACAGCAGTGACCTAACAGGTCATATAAATAGGACGCGACACAGTTCGAGATAGTCAAGCTGAAGACTGAAGACTCAGGGGATCTTCCCCCAGTTCTCTCTTTTTTTCTGAGTCAGAGTTTCACTCCGTCGCCCAGGCTGGAGTGCAGTGGCACACTCACGGCCACCGCAGCCTCCACCTTCTGGGCTCCGGTGATCCTTCCGCCTCAGCCTTCCAAGTAGCTGGAAATACAGGTGTGCACTACCATGCCTGGCTAATTTTTGATTTATTGTAGAGAAGAGGTCTCACCATGTTGCTCAGGCTGGTCTTGAACCCGCGGGCTCTGGCAATCCTTCTGCCTCAGCCTTCCAGATAGCCAGGACTATACGCTACCATGCCCGGCTAATTTTTAATTTATTGTAGAGATGAGGGTTTGCCAAGTTGCCCGGGCTGGTCTCGAACCCCTGGACTCAGGCAATCCATTCACCTCAGCCTCCCAAAGTGCTGGGATTACAGGCTGAGCCACTGAGCTCCCCAACAATCCTTCATAAACCTGCCTGCGCCTCTGGCCAACATGGGACTCACACGCCCATCTAGCAGCTCCTGCCATCTGGTGGGCATAACAGGCATTACAATAGCCAGGAGCCTTGTATCCCAGAGAATGGGGTTTTGAGAAGAAAAAGGGGTTTCCTTTATTTTTTTATTTATTTCTTTTTCTGAGTTGGAGTTTCACTCTTGTCGCCCAGGCTGGAGTGCAGTGGCACGCTCACAGCCACTGCCACCTTGACCTGCTGGGCTTAGGGGATCCTTCCACCTCAACTTTCCAAGTAGCTGGAATTACAGATACATGCTACCACTCCTGGCTAGTTTTGGGATTTATCGTTAGAGACAAGTACTCACCAAGTCACCCAGGCAGGTCGCGAATCCCTGGGCTCAGGCAATCCTCTCACCTCAGCCTCCGAAAGTGCTGGGACTACAGGCTGAGCCACCGAGCCCAGCCAATCCTGCTTTTTTTTTTTTTTTTTTTTTGAGTTGCAGTCTCACTCTGTTGCCCAGACCGGAGTGCAGTGGCCGCTCCCGGCCACCACAGCCTCCACCTGCTGGGCTCCGGCGATCCTTCCGCCTCAGCCTTCCAAGTAGCC